CTCCTCCTCCTCCTCCTCCTCCTCCTCCCCCTCCTCCCCCTCCTCCCCTCCTCTCTCTTCCCCCATCGGAGGGTGGAGCTCTGGGGAGGCGGGGGGGAGAGCGGAGGAGGGAGCGCGTCGCTCAAACGTGCCTCTGGCCGGGGGACGGCATCCTGTTCCACCCATTGTGCGAGCGCCGGATGGCCGTAGGCCAGCCGGAATCCGCATTCGGCGGCGGAGGGTTCTGGCCATCCCCCATCCGTCATGCTTCTCTCTTTCCGCCTCCCGGCTGGAAGCATCCAGGACAAATGGCAGTGCGACACATTTGGGTGCACAGGTAGAACGTTGGACGCAGCTAGCAGACTCGAATGACCTCATTCGTAGCTCTGGTGACTTCGCGGACTACCTAACCAAACAGAGTCGGGAAAGCCTTGGAATACAAGTGAAAGAAGATAAGCCGCAGTGTTGCTGGCGATGTCGCCGATGTCCAGGAGCAGCTGCGAAATCTTAAGAAATGTAGGGTGCGTTCGTCTGCGATCTATGAGCAACATTCACCGTTTCATGAGCAAAAACGACAGACATGTGTGTCGGCACCGCTTTCGGTGTACGTCATTGGCGCCAATATCCAAATTCTGGAAACGGCTGCACGCAAGGTGCTCCCTGAACAGGTTTTGGCTCTGGGGTGCTCGCTTTGATGTTTGAGGAACCGTGCGAGGCCCGCGCTGCCGTGCACCAATCAGCACGCTCGTGCTTTGACGAGGTGCCACCGCCCTGCCTCGAGTCTCCGTTCCACGGTGTCGCCAGCAGCGTCCTTCCGATAGCTTCAGGAGAGCACGGCAGTGTGCAACGGGTCCTCTAAGCGTAGTTTCGTCTCTGCGATGTGCCCGGGTGGGGGGGGGCTTTCCAAGACTCATGTCGACTTCACGTAAGAGTGACCCTTCGCAGGAGTGACCTTTGGTGCGGGCTCATCGGGCTCCCCCGGATCGCCGAGCGCGATGCGATATAAGCAGCCCGCGCTCTTGGGTTTGGCTCCTTCGCGCCCCCAAAAAGCTGCGCACCACAGGTCACTCTTACCCAGGGTCACTCTTACGTCTAGCCGACCATGCTCACGTATCCTCCCGTTCGTGAGGAGAGAAACGGGGGAACTCCAAGATATCTCGGATCGTTCACGCCGCTTCTCACCGCTGATCCTCCAGCAGTTTGAGACCGCGGGGCCACGTTCGAGGAAACCAGTCCGAAACAAAGCAAATTGCAAGGGCCTCTCATGCGAAACGGGTCCCCCAAAAAACCGCGAGGAAGGAAGAATATCACAAGAAAGTGTTGGGCGGAACGGGCCCTCCACGGCGCCAACCCGGGGGGCAGGCGAGCTGCGAGACCAGGCCAAGTGCAAGGACCTATCAAGCGAACCGGGCCCCAAGCCACGCAAATTGCAAAGACTTCTCGGGCGAACCACGCCAGACCAGAGGGCGTTCTGCGAGGACCTCTCGCGAGAAACAGGACCCCGGACCACGCCGAACCAAGCAACTTGCCAGGACCTCTCAAAGGAAACCGGCCACAGACCGCGCCAGACCAGGGGCCAAGCTAAACAACCTGCAAGGGATTATGAAGCTAAACGGGCCTTAAACGAGGCAAATTGTGAAGACCTCTCAGGCGAAACCAGTCCCAAACCGAGCCTAACCAAATAGATTGCAATGACCTTTCAAGCGAAACAGGTACCAAATTTAGCCAAGGCGAGCAAGTTGGGCGGATCACTCAATCGGAATCGGGGCCCCTGGTTTGGCATGGGTTGTGATTGATTTTGTGTGAGAGGTCATCGCGAATTGACTTGGTTTCGCTCCAGTTTCGCTTGAGAGATCACCGAAGTTTCTTCGCGTTGGCCGTTTGATTGGCCGAGCTGAGGACAAATTTCGCTTGAGAAGTCCTCGCAGTTTGCTTGATTTGATTTGGTATTTGGTATGGGGCCACATTCGCATCAGATGTCCTGACAATGTGTGCCTGGTTTGTCCTCAGGTTTGGCTTGGTTTGGCGCCAGTGGCGCTTAAGAGGTCCTCACAATTCGCCTGGCTATGGTCGCTTCCGCCAACCATGTTCTTGTAAGTTGCCAGATTTGGCCCAGTTTCGCTTGAGAGGTCGTCGCGGTTTGCATGGCTTGACTTGGTTTGGGGCCAGCTTCGCAGGAGAGCTCGTTGTGAATTGCCTGGTTTGCCAGCTGGTTTAGCATGATTTGGGCCAGACCAGGCAAATTGCGAGGACCTCCCATGCGAAAGTAGAAGCCTCAAACCATTTCAGATTGCGCAAAGTGCGAGGACCTCTCGCGGGCCAAAAACAAGGGCTGATCAAGAGGGAAAAAGAAACACACGCAGACACAATGAATCGTCGATCCCCCGGAAAATCTGTGAAAACATGAGGGGTGGGGGGTAAGACGAAAATCCATAAGATATTTTAAAGATATGGGGGATCAAGGGATGTGTGTCTATTTGTTTTTTGTGTCCTTGGGCCCTTCAGCTGAGTCGCTTGAATTGCGAAGCCCCCCCCATGCGAAACCGCCCGAGGCAGGCTGCATCCACTCCCCACAGAGCTCTCACTAAAGAAGTGGATGAACCAGGGAGGAGCTTCCGCAGGCGCAAACCCTCTGAGAATTTGACCCACCAGTGGGGTCAGGGCTGGCGTTCGGACCCACGCGCTCATCGGTGTGGGGCGGGCCCAGAGCAACAGCAACAATGTGTTATTCGGTTGTTGTTGGGGCCTTGGTGTGGTGCTAGGCGACATTCCTGAGACTGCAGTGGAACACTGGAAGTTCTCGCCAACTTCCACGGCGCAGATGCGGACTTCGAACTCCATTAGCTGACCTTGACAAGCAGTCAAATTGACAACCTCGAGCAAAAGCATGTGACTTGATCATGGCCCCAAGTCAGCCTTGGAACAAGTTTGCACAGGGCTGGTTGTAGACTGCTCATACAGATGCAGATTTGGATATGGTGATGCGACCGACGCGACGCGATTTTCCCCATATCCAAAGGATGGGGTTCTTGTTAGTCCCCGTATCCCAAGGATGGGTTTCTTGCTTTTTACCGACCGCGCCGAGAAGGAACACCTCACACCTCCTCATTATCCTCCTCCTCTTCCTTATCATCTTATGTTATTTGGTATGGCATGCTATGGTACTGTATGGCATGACATGTTATGTTACGATATTGTATGCTATGTTATGTGATGATGATGGTGATGGTGATGGTGATGATGATGATGATGATGATGATTATGATGATTATGGTGATGATGATGATGATGATGATGATGATGATGATGATGATGATGATGATGATGGTGATGATGGTGATGATGGTGATGATGGTGATGATGATGATGATTGATGATGATGGTGATGTGGTGATGGTGATGGTGATGGTGATGATGATGATGAGAGAGATGATGAGGATGAGGAGAGGAGGAGGAGGAAGGAGGAGGAGGATGATGATGTCGGAGCAGCAAGTCTGAGGATGTCTCGAGCGAGGCGCGGGTTTCAGCACCCCCAAGGGGGGAACTGCCGAAGGTATCTCAGTCCTCCGTTCGCGCCACAATTGCGAGGATGTCTCGAGCGGGGTGCCTGTTTCGCTGCTCAGCATCCTCCGCTTTCGGAGCAGATTTCGCGGATGTCTCGAGCGAGGCGCTGGTGTTCGAACCCCAGGAGGGCCAGGCCTTGAAGATGTCTCGAGCGGTTTGCTTATTTTGCTGGCCAGCCTCGTGGGCACTGATCCTCCTCAGGATGCCGCAGGAGGTTCCAGCAGGCTCCAGGCGGCCCCAAGAGGCCACAGGAGGTAGCAGGAGGCCACGGCGGCCCCAAGAGGCCACAGGAGGTAGCAGGAGGCCACGGGAGGCCACAGGAGGCCCCAGGAGGCCCGCAGAGGCTCCAAGAAGCCCCAGGAAGCACCAGGAGGCCCCAGGAGGCACCAGGAGGGCCTGGAAGGCCCCACGAGACCCCACGAGGCCCCAGGAGGCTTCAGAAGGCCACAGGGGTGGCTCTAACCCCCGATGTTTTACAGATGCTTCCATCGATTGGGCCTCCCCTGGAGCACGAAGCTTCCGTACCCATTTCGGCTCCAGCCTCCCGCGGCCGCGCTTCGGGCGAGGGGGCTGCGCTCGACGCGCTGCTCAGGCGGGGCCTGTCGCGACCGGGCGAGGCCTGCGCGAGGAGCGGCGCGGGTCCCGCCGACGCCTTCGCGGGGGCCCACCCGCGGCCTGGCGGCCCGCGGCAATGACGGAGGCCGCCGCCGAATTCGGGGCGCGCCCAGGCTCCAGCTCCGGCGCGGGCCCCGCGTCGGGCGGCGAGGAGGAGCGCCTCCAGGAGCTCCGCCGCCGCCTGCGGGAGTCGCGCGACGCCCAGCGGAGGGCCGAGGAGCGCGCGGCGGCGGAGCGGCTGGAGCTCGCGGAGAGCTGGAAGGAGCGCCAGCGGCGGGAGCGCTCCGCGCGCCAGGAGGAGCACCGCCACCGGCTGGCCGCCCTGCAGAGGCGTGCGACCCGGCGCGAGGCGGCGAAGCCACGGGCGGTGCCGGAGCTGCTGGACGAGGCGGCCGAGCTCGCAGAGGCCGAGGCCGCCGCCGGCGCCCACGACGCCGGCGCGGGGCGCCGCCCGACGACCGCGGCCACGGACTGCTCCGAGGCCTCCTGGGTCGACCCGTTGGACGGCCGTGCGAGTCGCCTGCACCCCGGCGACGGCGCAGGCCCGGCCGCCGCTCCGGGGCCGCCCGGCGGGGCGCCCGGCGGCCCGCGGACTGCGCGGCAGCCTGCGGCCGAGCCCCGCCAGGAGGCGGTCGTCGCGCCCGCCGCCGCCCGCAGCGCGCCGAGGACGGCGAGGGCGGCGGCCGCGGAGGAGAGGGCCCTCGGGCGAAGAGAACTGTGCACGTGCACCGATGCTGACAACGCCCATCCTCGGCCCAGGATCTGTGCACAGACCTTCCGATGGCCAAGGTATAAGAGGGCGTACAGTCGGGGCCCTGAGGAAGGAACCCTTCTCGTTGGGGAGGGGCTCCGCGTTCCTTGAGTGTTTCGCAGCTTGCCTCAGGCTTTCCTGATGTTTTCCATCGGAAATCGAAGTTTGACTTATGGAAAAAAAGGGGCCTCGTTCCTTACTTAGGGTTCCTTAGGTCAAGGCCCCGACTGCATGCACCGCTTCTGGGCTCCGGGGTGGGCCTGGCCAGCATCGGGGTATGTGCACAGCTCCCCAGAGATCCGATGTCGTGATTTTTTCAATGCGCGGTCCCCGGAAGTCTCGACCCATTCCCCAGGACCGGTCTGTCATCCTGAGTCGTTATTTCACTGTCCCGAGGCCCAGCGAGGGCCCCTAGAGACCCACAACTGCGAAAAACCTCCGTCTTGATTTTCTCAAGACGTTGGATCTCTGGGTCTCTATAGGCCCGGAAGCGCCAGGCCGCCGCCGGAGCAGGCGTCATGACCTTCCGCAGCACCGGCTTCGTCGACAGCATCATCGCCTCCGTGGAGGCCGGCGGCCGGCCCTGGCGCCCGCCCCTCTCGCAGGGCGGGGACGCCGCCCCGCCGCAGTCGGCGAGGGCGTCGGCGGCGCCGGCGGCAGCGGCCAGCGGCGCCGCGGGCGAGGAGAATCAGAGGGGAAAAAACACACAGACACAATGAATCGGCGATTCCCAGGAAAATGTGCAAAAATATGGGAAGTGGTGGGGAAGACAAAAACCCAGAAAATATGGGAAAATATGGGGGATATTTTTATGTGTGTGTGTATCTATTTGTGTGTCCCAGTTCCCCTTCAGAGGAGACGTGCTGCTCCACGGCTCCGGGCACGCCAGCTCGACTGCACCTCGTCGCGCGCCGGCGCAGGCTGAGGTCGGGGCGAACGGGATGGGCAAATGCGGGGACAGCGGGCACAGAGTGCAGCAGCAGTTCCGGTTCGTGCGGAACAGGCCTCGCTGTCAGCGTGGCCGCGGCCGTGGTCTCTTTGGGACGGGAGGCCGCCCGCCCAGCAGCGGCCGCTGTCGGTTTTGGACCGCACTTGTGGTTGGGCATCGTGCCCATGTCCTCCGTGCAGTCGGGGCCCTGAAGGAGGAACCCTTTTGGTTGGGGAGGGGCTCCGCGTTCCTTCAGTGTTTCGCAGCTTGCCTCAGGTTTTCCTTATGTTTTCGATCGGAAATCGAAGTTTGACTCATGGAAGAAAGGGGCCTCGTTCCTTATCTTGGGTTCCTTAGGTCAACACCTCGACTGTACCCTATTTCGGGTGTCCGGATAAGGGCGATGCACTCCGTCGCGGCGCAGGTGCTGGCTGGGCGGGCCTGCGTGGAGGGGCCGACCCGAGATAGGGGGCCCCATGCGAACCCTACCCCTACCCCCCACACGATTTCGGAGGGGGAGGGTGGGGTTCACTTCGTTTGGGAGCTCCCGAGCGAAGTGAACCCCACCCTCCCCCTCCGAAATCGTGGGGGGTAGGGGTAGGGTTCGCATGGGGCCCCCTAGCGAGACCTCCCCGTAGAGGCGGCTCCTACGGCCAGCCACTGGAGGAAACCCATCCCCGGCCGCCCGTCGCGGACGCTGCGCATTTTTTTGGGCGCGCGGCCGAGCCACCTCCGAGAACGGGTGGGGGGGGGCCTTTCCACGACGGTCGGCAGGCTGCAGTTGTGGAGGGGAGAGCACGGAAGGAGGCCCCACGCTAGCGACCCTACCCCTACCCCCCACGATTGCTGAGGGGTAGGGTGGGGGGGTGGGTTTCACTTCGTTCGAGAGCTCGCGAACGAAGTGAACCCCACCCTCCCCCTCAGAAATCGTGGGGGGTAGGAGTAGGGTTCGCATGTGGCCCCCTAACGGGGAGGAAGTGGAGGACGACGAGGACCCAGACGGGATCACGTCGTGCAAAAATTCGGGACGGGAGGTTTTTGGTAAACTTCGGCCTCTGGGGGCCCTCTCCGGGCCTCGGGACCTTCAACGAAACGATTCAGGACGAAAAACCGGCCCCTGGGAAAGGGTCCGGACTTCCACGGACCAATATTGAAACAACTAGACCGTCGATTGTCTGGGGAGCCTCGTCCCCCTGCAGCGAGCGCCCGGGTGCTGTCCCGGGCCCCTTGGTTTTATACTCCTTGGCACCCGCTGCAGGCCGCGACTGAACAGCAGTTGAACCTGCCTCGGCGGCTGGCGCAGAAGCGGCGCCAGAGAAAAAAGAGAAGAAAAGACAAGCATAACACGAATATGCTGTGTGTTTCACCTAATTATGTTTCTATCGATGGCCCTTCTCCTGCGCATCCACTCCTAAGTGTTTTACGCATGTCTCTATTGATTGGGCCTCCCCTGGGGCACGAGTCCTTGGTGTTCATCGTGTGCTCCTATAGATTGCCCCTCTCCTACGGCTCCAATCCGAAGTGGTTTACGTCTGTTCCTATAGATTGGGCCTTTCCTGGGGCACGAACCCTCCCCAGGAGGCCCCAGGAGGGTCCAGGAGGCTCCTGGAGGCCCCAGGAGGCCACACGAGGCCCCAGGAGGCGTCAGGAGGCCACAGGAAGCCCCAAGAGGCCCCAGGAGGCCCCAATGGAATCTAGGAGGCCCCAGGAAACCCCAGGAGGTTTCCAAGAGGCCCCAGAAGGCCCCAGGCTCATGCGCAGAGACGCACTAAAATTTTTGAGACTCAGTCACACTCCAACTCATTCAGTCAGAGTCACTCCCAGACCGTCACTACTCAAGCCCGCTTATATTCGAAAACTCTTGCGCCTAGACACGGCGGACAGGTCCATGCTAATTGATGTGCATATAGGGGAGCTCCACGCAGTGAATACTTACTGTGACCACGCCGAGAAGGAACATCTCATACCTCCTGCCTCCTCCTCCTCCTCCTCCTCCTCCTCCTCCTCATGTTATGGTGTGTTATGTTAGGGCATGTCATGTTCTGGTATGGTACGTCATACTATGTTATGGTGTGTTGATGACGACGGTGATGATGATGACGATGATGCATATGATGACGATGATGATGTTGATGATGATAATGACGATGACGATGATGATGAGGAGGAGGATGATGAGGATGATGATGCTGCTGCTCATGATGATGATGATGATGATGATGATGATGATGATGATGATGATGATGATGATGATGATGATGATGATGATGATGATGTTGGTTATGATGGTGATGACGATGATGACGATGGCGGGGCAAATTCTGAGGATGTGTCGAGCGTGGCGCGGGTTTCAGCACCCCCAATGGGGAGCCGCCAGGGGGTATTGCATCTGTCTCGAGCGGTGTGCTTGTTTCGGTGCTCAACATCCTCCGCTTTCGGAGCAGATTTTGAGGATGTCTCGAGCGACGCGCTGGTTACCACAACCCACGGGGGCCAGATCTTGAGGATGTCTCGAGCGGTTTTCTTACTTTGCTGGCCAGACCTGTGGGCACGAATCCTCTTCATGATGCCACAGGAGGCTCCAAGAGGCTCCAGGCGGCCCCAGGTGGCCACAGGAGGTCCCAGGAGATACCAGGAGGCCACAGGAGGCCACAGGAGGCCCCAGGAGGCCACGGGAGGCCCCAGGAAGCACGAGGAGGCCCCAGGAGGTCACATGAGGCCACAGGAGGCCCCAGGAAGCGCAAGGAGCCACCAGGAGGCCCCGGAAGGCCCCAGGAGCCCCCACGAGGCCCCAGGGCCAGGAGGCTTCAGAAGGCCACAGGAGAGGCTCCAATCCCCGGTGTTGTACGCATGTTCTTATAGATCGGGCCTCCCATGGAGCACGAATCCTTGGTGTTTTAGGTATGCTTCCATAGATTGTCTTTTCTTGCGCATTCACCCCCAAGTGTTTTTCATACCTTCCTGCAGATTGGGCTTCCTCTGGGGCACGAGTCCTGGGTGTTTCACGCGTGTTCCTATAGATTGCCCCTCCCCTGTGGTTCCAATCTCCGTAGCCATTTTGGCTCAAGCGTTCGCACGGCCGTCGCCCCGTGTCCTGGCTCAAGGGTCCGCCTCTGGCGAAAGCCTATCGGCGCGGCCCTTCGCCCGTGGCGCGGATGGCGACGCCTAGAGGGGCTTGGTCGGCCCGCGACGCCGCCCTCCTGGTTGAGGCGGCGGTCCGCGGGGCCGTCTCTGCGAGTGCGCCGCGGCGCACGGTCGCGGCTGTGGCGCGGTCGGCTGTGTCGGCCACCCTTTTCGGGGTGGGCCGCGGGGCCGAGGGCGCCGTGCCGCCGCCGCCCGCTGCTGCTGCTGGTGCTGCTGGCCCTGATCCTCCTGACCGAGCTGGTGCTGCTGGGGCTGACCCTGCGGCGCGAGCCGCGAAGCGCCGCCGCCGCCGCCAGCGCCGTGCTGCGCGGCGCGCGGCCGCCCAGGAGGAGAACAACATGGTCGTGGAGGAGGTGCCCGCTGGGGTGGTCGCTGGAGCTGCCGCTGGTGCAGCTGCTGCTGCGGCTGCAGCGGCGGCCACCGCCGACGACGACATGGACGTCCTCGAGGACGAGCGGGCGGACGACGTTCGTCGGGCCGCCTCGGGTGCGGCGGCGGCGGATCCCGCTGGAGTGGGAGGAGCTGCCGCCCCTGCCTGGCCGCGGAGGCGCAGGCGGAGGCCCGAACCCGCCCCTGGGCGCGAGGGCCGGTGGGTCGTGGACGCGGAGGGCGCTGGCGCGGCCGGCGCGGCCGCGGGCACGGGGCTGGCACTCGCGAGGGACCCGGGGGCGAAGGGGCAGGCGGACGCGACGGTGGCGGCGGCGGAGCCTGGCGGCGGAGCCGCTGCCTCGGGCGCGGCGACGGGGGCGGCGGCTGCCCTCGAGGACGCGTTCGCCGCGGCGGACGGCGTCCTGCGGAGGGCGGCTGATTGGCGCCCCGAGGCGAGCGACGACCTTCGGCGCATGCTGGAGGCCGTCCGCTGGCACCCCGCCTAGGCCCAGATGGGGAGTGCCTTCGGTGGTCTGAGCCTTTTCAGGCTCGGCACGGGGTGGATGGTGGCTCGCGCGGCCGCCTCACCTGACGGCGCACACCCACGCGGCGTGGCGAGCGCGCTGCTTCTTGGAGGCCGCTGTTTGCGGAGCCTCCTGGCCGCATTTTGCGGCTCTCGCCTTCTTGGCGGCAGGATCGGTTCGTGCTGCACGGGCTGCCTTGTCATTTTAAAAAAAAAGTGGTTCCAATCTCTCCGCAGCCATTTTGGCTCAAGCGTTCGCACGGCCGTCGCCCCGCGTCCTGGCTCAAGGGTCCGCCTCTGGCGAAAGCCTATCGGCGCGGCCCTTCGCCCGTGGCGCGGATGGCGACGCCTAGAGGGGCTCGGTCGGCCCGCGACGCCGCCCTCCTGGTTGAGGCGGCGGTCCGCGGGGCCGTCTCTGCGAGTGCGCCGCGGCGCACGGTCGCGGCTGTGGCGCGGTCGGCTGTGTCGGCCACCCTTTTCGGGGTGGGCCGCGGGGCCGAGGGCGCCGTGCCGCCGCCGCCCGCTGCTGCTGCTGGTGCTGCTCGCCCTGATCCTCCTGACCGAGCTGGTGTTGCTGGGGCTGACCCTGCGGCGCGAGCCGCGAAGCGCCGCCGCCGCCGCCAGCGCCGTGCTGCGCGGCGCGCGGCCGCCCAGGAGGAGAACAACATGGTCGTGGAGGAGGTGCCCGCTGGGGTGGTCGCTGGGGCTGCCGCTGGTGCAGCTGCTGCTGCGGCTGCAGCGGCGGCCACCGCCGACGACGACATGGGCGTCCTCGAGGACGAGTGGGCGGACGACGTTCGTCGGGCCGCCTCGGGTGCGGCGGCGGCGGATCCCGCTGGAGTGGGAGGAGCTGCCGCCCCTGCCTGGCCGCGGAGGCGCAGGCGGAGGCCCGAACCCGCCCCTGGGCGCGAGGGCCGGTGGGTCGTGGACGCGGAGGGCGCTGGCGCGGCCGGCGCGGCCGCGGGCACGGGGCTGGCCTTTTTTCTTTTTTTGTTTTTTTTTTTCTTTTTTTCTTTTTTTTTTCTGCTTTGTTTTTTTTTTGTTTTTTTTATCGCGAGGGGACCCGGCGGGCGATAGGCGCAAGGCGGGCGCACGACGGCCGGGCGGCGGAGCTGGCGGCGGAAAGCTGCTGCCATCGGGCGCGGCGACGGGGGCGGCGGCTTTTTTTTTTTTTGTTTCTTTTTTTTCTGTTTTCTTTTGTTTTACCTACTTTTTATTCTATTATATTATTCTTTTTTGTTTTTTTTTTTTTTTTTTTGTTTTTTTGTTGTTTCTTTTTTTTTTTTGTTTTTTCTGTCTGTTTGTTTTTGTTTTGTTTTTTTTTTTTTGTTTGTATTTTTGCTCCTTTTTTTTTCTATTATTTTCCTGTTTGGTGTTTTATTCCCTTTTCTTTTTTTTTTCTTTTTTATTTTTTACTTTTTTTTTGACTCGAGGACAGCGTTTCGGCCGCGGCTGTACGGCGTCCTGCGGAGGGCGGCCGATTGGCGCCCCGAGGCGAGCGACGACCTTCGGCGCATGCTGGAGGCCGTCCGCTGGCACCCCGCCTAGGCCCAGATGGGGAGTGCCTTCGGTGGTCTGAGCCTTTTCAGGCTCGGCACGGGGTGGATGGTGGCTCGCGTGGCCGCCTCACCTGACGGCGCACACCCACGCGGCGTGGCGAGCGCGCTGCTTCTTGGAGGCCGCTGTTTGCGGAGCCTCCTGGCCGCATTTTGCGGCTCTCGCCTTCTTGGCGGCAGGATCGGTTCGTGCTGCACGGGCTGCCTTGTCATTAAGCAAGTGGTTCCAATCTGAAGTGTTTTACGTCTGTTCCTATAGATTGGGCCTTTCCTGGGGCACGAACCCCCCTAAAGGCTCCAGGAGGCTCCTGGAGGCCCCAGGAGGCCACACGAGGCCCCAGGAGGCGTCAGGAGGCCACAGGAAGCCCCAAGAGGCCCCAGGAGGCCCCAAGAGGCTCCAGGAGGCCCCAGGAAACCCCAGGAGGTTTCCAAGAGGCCCCAGAAGGCCCCAGGCTCATGCGCAGAGACGCACCAATACTATTGAGACTCATTCGCGCCCCAACTCATTCACAGTTAGATGCACAGCCAGACCTTCAATACTCAAGCCCACTTATATTCGAAAACTGCTGCGCTTAGACGCTCACGGTGGACAGGTCCATGTTAATAAATGCGCATACGGGGAGCGTGTTGCTCAGATCTCGAGGCGGATCTGGCTGAGGCGACTTGGGCGCCCCTTGCAGGCCCAGGGTGGACCAAAAGCGTTGAAATCACCGCCATCGGCGATCCTCAACGTTATTTG